AGGCTGTCTATCAGAAGTACTCGATTACAATTTATTACTCGATTTGTTCTATTATCGGTAAAACAAAATGTATGTTCATTCTGTTAATGTCAGTAAAATAAAATACAGAACATGATAGTCGTGATGTATATTTCGTAGATAAGTAAAAAAGCAGTTTTACAACACTGTATTTAATTTATACAGGGTGGCCCATGTAAAGTGTTACAAGCTATTATCTCTGAAAGTATGTTTCAAATGACTAATATGTTCAGACAAAAGTTTTATGACTTTGAAGAGAGGAGCATAAAATGGTACCATTTGTTTGACCTTGGATAGCGTTGTCAAAGTAAGAGCAAGGCTACTTTGAATTTTTTAAATGGAACCCCCCATTTTTTATTACACTTTCTTGTCCCTTACCTCGAGAGCTTTTCAAAACACTATAATAAAATATTTTTTCATTAAGTATTTTTCGAGTTATAAGGCTCGAAAATTACAGTACATCAGTCGGCATTAGCATTACGCAAGTTGTCCGACTGACGCAAGTTGTCCGACTAACGGCTAAAACCTCTTGAATGTTGTTCAGAATCATATCCTGGATAACATTTGTCAAGATCAAGGCCATTGGAGATTATTCCTTTTATTTTCATTTTTGCACTAAAAATTGATTTTTACGTAAAAATGAAAATAAGAGGTACAACCTCCAATGGCCTTGATCTTGAATCGTAATTTAATGATATTAAAAGGTAAAATTGCCGACACAAAAATATGTATCTTGTGATAAAAATAAATACATTTTTTAATGTGAATCTATTTTAAGGGAATTGTAAATAAAACCAGAAGCTTTGCGAAGGTATCGATAAGTATCGATACAGAGACCGATCCAATATCGATTTTTTTCCCCAAATATCCATCCAGTATCGATACTTTTTTGTATCGATTTTTTGGAACTATACTGAGGTACATATATTGATTGTAACATTTTTTTGTATTTTTGTTATTCCAGATCATGACTTCTAATTCACCTGCTACATCGTGAAAATAAGTAGATAAAGAGATAAGTCAATTGTTTGGAAAATATAGTTCTTTACGTATTCTTGCATATCAACAAATATGTCGATATGTTAATAATTAATAAATTTATAATCTTATAAAAGTAACATTGTGCACTTTATTTTCCATTTTTCTAATATTTTTTACGAAAAAAGGAAAGCATATACTTATTAGATCATATTAGGTATTTATACTGAAAAAAATTTACTAAATCTTAATACGTATTTATTTAAATAGTACTAATAAGTAAATCTAAACTTACAGTAAATGAATATTTACTTAATTAAAGAAAAGATAGTTAAATCAAATTAATGGTTTTTGTTTCAAATAAATATGTATGTATTTATAATAAATATATATCAGCTAAAGGAAAAAATCGCAAAGCTTAGATGCCATATAAGGTTCGGTTATCCTATATTATATACATATACTTAGCACCAAAAATAACTACAAATTATAGTTAAATTATGATAATTGCAACTATATTTAGTAATAATAATTATAATTTATAGTCATTTTCGGTATCTATATATTTTTTCTATAGAACTATAAACATAATCATTATTACTAACGTTATAACAGTAATAACGTATAAACAGTAATAATTATGTTAAATATCAAATTATAGTCACAAATACTAAACACTTTTATCTCAGTGTATGTAAATCTAAAAATTTATATACATATAATTTAATAATGCATTGACAGTAATCAATTGATAAGACAATAATTCTAACATTGCGTATAAAATTAAAAATTTAAAAAGAATATTCAATTATAGATTTTTTATAAAAAAACAGGATATAAAAAATAAATTAATTCTGGAATCAGTTATTGTTGAATCATAACATCAGCACAGAAAATGCAGATATAGCTGTGTTTGTTATAAATCTAAATAAAGATAATAGAATTATCGTACATTTATATGCATTTGTATAACCGTATAATGAACTACAACTCGAAATATAATAATAATATTGATATCTTTTGAAAATATTTAATTAATTTTAATATCTAAAAATTCACCAACATACTTTCAACTTTCTAGAATAAATATTGAAATTTCATTTTGGAAAATGATAAAATGTAGTATAATTTATAATCACCAAAAGACTCAAAGAAACTTGCACGAACAGAAATTGTTCGGTCACTAGTGACCCAATCTTGTACGGTAAAGGTTAAATAATTATATTCTATCCTTCTTCCTTTCAAAATAATAGGGTAAAGTTACCGAAATCGCACCGACTCTTAAATCGTACTACCTCGCTTAAAAATTCAATTATTGTATTTATATACTTTCTTACAGATTATTTAAGAACTACGTGATACTGTAATGCTACTCTGTTATGCTCGTGACATAAAGTGCAACAAGAGTGTTGTTATTTAGATAAATAAAAAAATCGTGACAGCGTTTGCTATTTTTCAACGTATTTCATAGCAGAATTACAGAAAATATAACTTAAATAGCCTAAGTCTTGACCATTTGGCGTGATTTTAGAATATTATTAAAATTAAATTAATAGGATTAAAGTTTGCTTTACATTTTTTTTATAAATAAAATAAACAAAACCTTAAAAAATGCTGTAGTTTCCTAAATCGCACCATAATGTAATTTCCTAAATCGCACTATAATCTAACTTCTTAAATCACACGTTACCTAATATTTTTCCATTTCTTACATTTTTATTCCATTCATTATTATGTAAAAATGTATATTGTAAATCTACGAATTAAGTGTTTATTTTATTTCACGTAGAAACTTCTTAAATTACTTCTTGAAATTATCATGTGTTTCAGAAATTACAAAAAATATATTCTTAAATTTTTAACAGTATAATAAGATACAATTTTTTCCTTTTCTTATGTAATTTTTAAATTTTTTACATTATCATAATGTTTTAAATGAGTAATATTGGTGTGGTGCAATTTAGGCAACGAATTTCCTCGTTGCCTAAATCGCACCTGAAAAATCGCATACTAAAAAAATCCTGATTCTAAATGTTATAATAGTGCAAAAAAATTATGAAAAAATTACATAAGAAAGGGAAAAGAGTACAGTTTATTATGCTGTAAAAAACTTAAGAACATTCTTCATAATTTCTGAGTTATGAGCCTTTAAGTAAAAAGTGGTGTGATTTCGGCAACCTTACCCTACATAAATTTATCACCAATATAACGCGCGCGCGCGTGTGTATGTGTGTGTATTAAACAGTGTCGTTTTATTAATTTAAATTACAGTTAAAATAAATTCAGTTAAAAATAATTTATTTAAAAATAGATAATGTAAAAATATTAGATTATAGACTAATTTTATTTACTTATTTTTCTCTAATACGTTCAATTTCGGCTCAATTTATTACATAAGATTAAAAACACTTTTAACGAGAATACAAGGTTGCCAATATGGCAGTGATAAAGTTGAAAATTATCTCTTCCGCTGTGCGTCACGGATTCAAGCTTGCGTCGACATTTATACGAGTAATAACAATGTCCCATGTACGAAATGATCGATAAAAAAAACTACCGTGACAATGTGAAACGTCAGCGGTTTATGCCGTTACAATCGTTTCGTTTTACGTTTCTCGCAGATCTCATCTTTTTACGTTGCGGCTTCGTTTCGCAACTTTCTAATAGGTACAAAATAGAAAGAGCTAAAGATATGATTATAAATAATATTAATATTCTATACGCAAATAACAATTCAAAATGACCAAAAAATGTCTCCTTCTTTTCCTCTAATTTTCATGTTTTAGTAGATTTTTTAAATAGACTTCGACGTTCTATTATTATGGTAAACAGAGTTATTAAATAAATTTTTCAAATACTATTGTTATTACATAATCGCATGTATGTAAGTCTTTATGAATATTCTGTATTTAACATAATGATTAGCATCATTGATTTATAATTTCTTATTGGTACAGTTATACTTAGTAACAATTGACGTAAGTCTCTACTTTTTGCGTAACGTGACACCTTAATAATTGCTGACTGTATATTAATGTTTTAGATTCAGATTGGACTGCATCCAATCACAAGGACATTGCTATCAACAGCTTTTTGATCCAAACTTTATATAATGGTTTTTATATAATGGTTTAAATCAAAATTAGACTGCATTAGTTAGAACAATTTTATATGTAATATTTAAAAATCTCATAATGTATTGAAAATGACCTTAAAAAAGTCGAAATATTTTTGTTATGACAATGATTATCGTTATGACTTTTTTTATAAATTTCACTACATAATTATATTAAAAATTTAATAAATATATGTACACATGAACGTCCAGTGTCGGCTCTTTGTTAGCATCTTTAAACATTATATATTTGATTTAATTCATTAAAAAAAATGAATTCTTATTTAGTAAGAGTATTTAAATTATTATAATTAACAAACATTTACTTTTCCGTCTCGTACGTATAAAATAATTTCGCAATATATAAAAAATTACTATAATAGTAAAAAAACGGATCAGCTTTCGCGATGATGCGTAAAAGATATTTCACATTATCGCAGGAAGAAATTCTTTGGAGAGGATCACTTAATATTCCTCAACTCGATATGCTCGATGAGCTAATGCCTCAACGATTATTCTCCGCGCGGGATAATCATGTCGCTCTTAAAAAGTAGGGCGATCTTTTTCTTCGACGTTCTATTATTAAGCTCTATCATTTGTACGGTTTTAAAATATCGCCAATGTCGTCTCAGACGTGACAATGGTCGCGTTCAGCAGACTCAACTGTTGCGGAGCGGATCAATGAGCTCTCGCTGCTATTGGATGATTTAAAAGAATACACCAATAGCAGTGAGCGCTCACGGATCCGCTCCACAACAGTTGAGTCTGCTGAACGCGACCAATGTCGCCCGTCTGTGTGCGCGAATTGTACACGCGGATTTCAGAGATTTCATGCTGCTCCTATGATTGTTGTCGCGGATTATCCGCGGATTATTCGTGTTCCACTTACCTTTTTCGGAGAGGGATGCAACACGGTCACCGGAACTTGGCGAGGAGTTGGCATGGACGGCGGCAGTTGAGTATGCTCCTTCACGGGAAACCGCGATAATTTTGAATCCCGATTAGAGGGTAACTCGAGCAGATGCTGTATCGAGTGATTCTGTCTTGTTTTCCTGGACGCCATTCTGTTAACAGACAAATCCGCACTTTACAATATCTGCAACAATTTGATTATTTCCCACGCACACAGAGACTTGCAGCAACATTGCTGCAAAGTTGCAATATTACGGGAATGTTACAATGTTGCTATACGGATTATGAAACTGAAAAAAATCTACTATATCTTAATAAATATTTTTTTAAATATTTGTAAATAAATATTTATTCTCAATGAAAAAAAATGATAATTAAATAAATCAAATTAATGATTCTTGTATCAAATAAATATATGTTAACATTCAGTAAATGTTTACTTACAAATATTTAAAGAAATATTTATTAAGATATAGTAAATTTTTTTCAGTGTATAATTGCTAGCGCAAGCAGATGGCTCTGATTTACTCGAATTTCATATAAAACGTTTTTAACATTATCGAATAATTAAATAGGAATCTAGCTCTTATTATCAATTATTTCTGCGAAATTCGTAATTCAGGATTTAGAATCCTCTTTTAATTACGGAATTCGATGAATTTGTATTATATTCTTTGTTATCAAAGAGAAATATCTGGAAAGATATACGATTTTAAATTAAAATGTGTCATTGATATCTTGCATCGTGAATCATATCACTGTACGAATTTTATTTATAAGTATCAAGGATGTTGAAAGCAAACGCTACTGTAATCGCGCGACCAAGCCGAACGATAGCCATGTGCGTAGATACCTTTTTCCAGACGCGCAGAGGCACTGGATATCGGATAAAACTTTCGCATTTAACTTTTCCGTCCTGCTGGGGAAACGACCAACAAAGCTCATCACAGGAAAGTTTTCCGAGACAAGGACGGACAACCGACTCAAAAGAGAGACAGAGCTCGGGTCGCGCATGCTCTTACCACTACACAATCACGACCGTGATTTCGCTACATACAAACTCCGATTATCCAGATATCGAACGTCCGGACTTTCGTGGTTGTTAGATAAGCTATAAAATTGTCGACCGTTCTACAAAATATGGAAATATACCGGTAAATGGAATAATGAGTCTATTTTATACAAGAGTAAATGCAATCAAAATCATTTATACAGTAACAAAAATTATCAACTGTGTAAAACTAAGTATACATAAATATTCCCGCTTACATTTCAAGCTCATTTTTTTTAAATTTCTCATTCTGTATATTTTTAATGTTCTTAATATTCTCTTCAAATATGATGGCTCTAAGTAAATTTGCCGAAGTTTACATTTTTAATTCTCAAAAGTACATCAAATATTTGATAAGATTCGTGAAAAAGAATCTTTCCAGGATCGACTCGCATAAGTTCCGTAAAATCCACGCGCGGAACATATCTTCGTAAAATCCTCGTGTATGCGGGGATGTGATAGCTCACCCCTCGTCGCGAAAGTTTGTTCTCCCTCGCGTGTTTACGCACGCGCCGCATCGCGCGCGCGCGCGCGCGCGCGCACACACACACACACACACACACACACACACACACGCACGCACGCACGCACGCATGCACGCACAACATGCACACGCACACACATATCAGCATACGTACATATTACTGGCTGCAAGCTGCAAACACATATACGATGTCAACGAGGATTACGACCGTGACCTTACCGACCAAATCGTCAGTGAAAAAAGCAAGGCTGTCCTTTCAACTATACCAAAACCACCGTACCGTTCATCGCACACGTGATACCAACACAAAGTTTACAACCGTTAATTAGATTACCTTACATCCGTTACACGCAACTTATTGATACAAAACTGCGCCCATTGATATGTATACCTTTCCGCATATGTAATCTACACTTACAGTTACATAAAATAAAAAATCGACTGCTTATGATAACGGAATTTCGCATTTTGAATATATGTATAATCAATTCACTACTATCGACGTAACATGATTTCTGACTGCGGAAATAGTTCGAACGATGCCTATATGCATGATTTCGATTTTAATCATTCTTTCAGTTTAATGGTTAAAATATAACAGGATATCACGTAGTTATGGAATTGATGCAGTGAATACGTTAGGATTAATTTTGGTGCAAATCATAGTAGATACGCCGCAAATATTACCAGCTTTGATCACCGAGTCGCAACGACCGCTCGTGCCGATCGATTAGACGCATTCAGCCATAATGCATACATATAACTCTAATTAGTCGTCCTTGATATGTGAAATCGACAATGCTTATTATAAATAAAAAGTTTCTAAGAAAAATTTATAATATCCAATTCAGCAGAATATTAGAATCGCGGATGCATATTTACTGAATTACTTTATGGTCTTTATAAGTTCTTTACATTTTCCTTACGACGTAAATTTTTAATCATTTTTTATAATCATTTTTAATATTAAACATATTAGCAAACAAGTTTATAATATAAAAAAACTTGTCAAACATAAATTGACTTAAAATTATTTAAAAATCAAGATTGTATTATACAATTACTACTTGTAGTCACTTTTTTTTAATTCGCTTTTTCACAATTTTATGGCTAAAACATATTTTAGTGTTTTCAGAATTAAGACTCGCATATCTGTAGACTACGTTCCAATTCACATATCGATGAATTCATGAATTATCTACGATCTTTCAATAAAAAATTCGCTGTATAAACAATAAATCACACGAATAAGTAGATTTTTGCAAAACGATATCTCTCTTTCCGCTTCTTCCTATTTCCTCTCAATCGATTTGCCATAAACGTGCATCGCCTGTTACGATCGTACTCTTCTGAACTTCAACCGAATTGGAACGCGACCCGAGAATTAAATAAAGTGTGATCGATCACGTCCGCAATGGATTCGCTTAGCAGATTTTACAAGACATGCCACTTCGTAATAGAGTCTACTTTGATAAGTATTTAAACATAAAACTTTAAGTATATTAAACATCAGCTGTTTTGTAAAAGATTTTATATAAAATGTTTTCAAACTAACAAACCTTGCTATAAACTTTTTAGTCTACTTGAAATTAACTTTGCATAACAAAATCATGAAAAGTTATTTGCAAATTTTCAACGTTAACTATTATTCCAACTTATCTACAAACTAGAAACTTCTCGAAAAGTACAATTTACTTAAAATTAAACTATTAGTATCTTTAATTAAAATTTTATTATATATAATTAGAATTTGTTTGTTTCTTAAAACGTATCCAAAATTTTCCTTCATTTTTATGTTACGCTTATAATTTAAATATTATTATTTTTCAAAGGGGTGTCATATAATATCATTGTGTATAATAGCCTAGAATTGCATACAGTAAACTAATTCAACCTAGTATTAATGTAATGTATTTAATTTATATAATCAAATACAAATATATATATAATCAAATACAAATGTTCATATGATTGACGTACAAACAATAATAGAAAATAAATTAATTGAGTAATTACACAACATTTTAACCTTTTAAAAATTAATATTTAAAAATGAAGAAATTTAATCTAAAGAATATTCTCAATCATATCACCGTGTAAATGGGGATCATTTGTCCGTATGATTTTTTAAATTATCAATATTTTGAGAACAAATGAGTACGGACGCGCTGTTCTGCTCTTGAAAAAAGTTGTGAGGTGGGGTAAGGTGCCTATGAAAGCCCTATGAGCATCGTTTTCTCGCTGAGAGCAGATATTCAAAATCGAGCGCGGACACAAATGATTCCCGTTTACACACACACGCGCGCGCGCGCGCGCACAACACGGTGAAGGTTTTAAATATACACGAAAAGATAGTTTTGTTAAAATATCTAAAAATATAAATACACATACAGATCTAAAATAATTATGTTAAACCATAAAATAATTATACAGGACACTCAAGCATGATGAAAATGCTATAAAAAATTTTGACATTCTAGTAACCAGTTCGAGTGTCCAATATACAGAATTATTTTGTGATACTCCAAAATTATTATTTTCAGATCTACATCTAGTTAAATTTTAGATTCGATCATAAAGTAATGAATATTTAAATTTAGTATTAAATGGTTTGTATTTTGTAGTTTTGCTTTATTTCTTCTTGTATACAATATTCCAATCCGAAGCAAACAATCAAATCACTATCTTTTCGCGTCTTAGATCAGTTAGCAAAAGCAAAAGCAAAGAAGAAAAGAAGGGGAATAAGGAGAAGAAGAAGAGAAGAGAAGAGGGAGGATACGTATTTCAGTCATCCGACCAACTTTTGCAAGTTTAATGCCCGGGCGCTCGAGTAATTTAACACGACGAAATTAACTTTTCAGTTTTACCAAAGTTTCCTGGCAACTTAACCGCGTCTCCACCCCCTTCTCGCTCCTTTCACATCCTCCCGCGTTCCTCATTCCCCCGGAATCCACTTCCCTGTACCCGCCCCCTCGAACCGACACGAAGAGCCAGGACCAACTTTTAAAGCGCTCGTCGTGGTAACAACTGCGTAGCGCAGCGCTCGCTCCGCCGAACTATAATTCCACCCTTAAGACCCGAAGTTTACGACGTAAACTTCCCCACTCTCACCGCCGCGGTGGGCTGATGCCGATGCTGCAAGTCTGTGAGAGTGAGAAGCCGAGACTGAGAACGGTTATCGAAATCATCGTTTCACTTGAACGTTAGTCGATGACAAAAAATTGATAACAATTGGACTCTCCACAACAGATTTTCGAAATTAATTTAAATAGTATATCAAATAAAGTATATCAATAAATTTAGCCTTAAATCTATCGGATTAAATACTGCTAAATTTACATACGTATTTTAGAGCGTCATATCTATGGAAAGAACGTTTTCTTAAAGTACTTAAAAATTTAGTTACAGATTTGAAAATTATTTTGTTAGACAATAAAAATAATTACGTGGAACGCTTAAGCGTTGATGACAATTCTGCAAAAAGCTTTAACATTCTAGCAATCAACTTGAGCATCTTATATAAATAGTTTGATAATTTAAACAAAATTATCTTCAGATCTATATCTAGTTAAATTTTTAAATACAAACTTAAACAAAACTATTCTTTCCATGTATAATTTCTAATATATAATAAATATTTATTACACATAGTAAATTTATTATACATAGTATTATATTCTAAAAATAAACATATGAATAAATATGTTTATGTTATTTGTGCAAACACATTGTTATGGTAAAACATATCCAGTTTTGTTCGTGATTCTGTTTATGTATTTTTTTATCTTTTGTAATGTATATTATAAAACTCGTAAATCAACAACAAATTGTTTATTACAATTCTGTGCGCGCTCACGCGACTAGATTATCGATGGCTACATGAAAACGATGACAAATTCGTTTACGAACAAATCAATAAAGTCAAAGCGTAATATAAAAAAAATAAAGGATTATTCGTGCGAAATATGAGATATATGTGCTTTTTACTTTATGCTCTTTGGAACAAATGCTTTTTTTCTTGTTTTCCAAGCGTATGATTCATTTTTATTCGTACGACTTCCGGTGTTTCATTTATAAATTACATCATGATCATCGATTAATAACATAAATAATAAGAAGTACCTTCAAGATGATTTTCACTCTTTCTTTTTTTCTTTTTTTTTTACGAATCTTCCCTTGACTAAGCAGACGTAAACTTAGAGTCTCGGTCGATCGGGCATCCGATGCCCCGTGCCAATACTTCTCCGACTAGTTTTGCGTGGCTATTATAGCCGTACGATTGGCTCTCCGTTACTTCCCATTCGTCTGTCCTGGCATCCGCAACTTCTCGACGATCTCGAGTCTTTTCGCAGAGAGTCAGCACGACAACGACTACCGGGCGGATATTGTAACTTGAGATATCGTCGCTATCGCTCATTCCAAAATGTCAGTTCTTCCGGCAAACAAAGACTTTAATGACTCGGATTTTCCATTCGCATGTTTGGCGGCAAAAAGCCACCGTAAAAATATTCTGCTCGTGATAAATGGACACGCGTGCGAGCATATTATTGTTGAAAATAGAGATCTACTCGAGGGAACTGTCCAAAAGATGCGGATGACTGTGACAGATTCATACTTCCCATCGCGCAACAGCAAAATATACGACACGAAAGATTGCGCTCTGGTGAAGTTTCGACGTTCCAAACTTCTGGAGCGACATTCATCGGATACAGAAGGCAAGATGGAGAAAAGAAATAGGAACTATAAAAAAGAGGGATCAATGGTTGACTGAGCTCATAAAGAAACGTGTCGATTCAACGACGGGATTCCAACTTTCCTCACGGGGGGGTATCCGTCTCTAGTTTGCAAGTAAAGGTACAAAATTCCGAAAGAATAACAAAGATTGAGTTTGCCTTCCAGAAAAAATTCCACACACATTGGCGTATTATTTTTTCATCAAATCGATTCAGACGTTAAACTCTTTTCAAGTCATATCGTTATAAAATTATCTAAATATTATAATTTTGTCTGATGCAATGGTATAAAAAAAATAAGGAGTAAGTTTTATTTATACGTCGAGATTTCATAAGCTATACAGCTGGAACGAGAATGCATTATTTAAATTCAAATCCCATCCTTGTCCTATTAAGTTCATCCTCTCATCCCTCTTAGCCCATCTCCTATTACAGCATGTTATCGTACGCTGGACCAAAATGGAATAAGAAGAGAAATATGGCTTGTATTCAAAATAG